GCGCCCCCGCCGCCGTGGCAGTGTCACGTCTGACCGATTGCGGCATATGGTCAGACCGTCCGTCCGTCGTCCCGCCGCCGGCACCGGACGGCAAGACCCACCCTGCTCACCCTATGGATTCTTACATGCGTCATGCATTTTAAGACATTTTCAGTCGTGAAATTTTCATAAAACTAAAGGAAACGAATTAGCATCCGGTTTAAGGAGCAACAAACTTGATGAAACAGCATCATGCGCCGCCATTAAATGACGGAGCTCAGACGGAAGTTTCCGCTCGCTCGACGTCCGGACGTCACGTTTCTCGCGCGGACGCGGGTGTCCGTTCCGGATGTCCGCTGACTGGGGTCGGATCGTGTCAGTGCCCCGGCTCTGACCTCGACACGTGCCCTGAGGCGAGACGCTCTTGTCACGGCGAACACGGAGGCTTTAACCTTCATCCGCAACATTGACTTCCCCCATCTGATCTCCTCGTTGTCGATCACGGTTTCCACAAGTTTTACCACGCGATCCTAATGCTGGTGAAATTCCCTGTTGCTGACCTTGCTTGCGTGTCGTTCTCTACCCCCTCCCCTTCCCCATACTGGCACGTTCCACCTCTCTGGGCCGGGTCGGGTGGCGACTGACGTGGCTGCTCTCAGCTCGTGGCCACTCGACCGATACCTCCCGTGACGACCGGGAACTCCCGGGCCGTCCGGCCGTTACCGGGCCGGGAAACACGCCGTTACCGGGCTGGGAAACACGCCGTTACCGCCCGGGGAAACACGCCGTTACCGCCCGGGGAAACACACGCCCGGGGTGGCGAATTTATACGACCCACCCACAACTGCTGAGCATCGGAAATGCCGGCGAAGGCACAGCGCAAAACCGTGCCACCTCTGTCAGATACGATGACGCGGTGTTATCGTGGAAGTGGTCCGAATTGAGATCGTGACGGCGCTCAGAGGACCGTGAAGGCGCGAGGGAGTGATTCAGTCAATCGTGTCGGTGTTAACATGCCGAGGTGAATGGCTTGCATACCGGTCGGTTCCGGGTAACTGATACTCTCAGGCAAAATAAGCTGGTATTTGAAACTGTTGCCTTGCTATCAGGCTCATCTTAACAACCTTGCTTGTTACAAGGTCAGGTAAGCCTATTTTTATTCATGATATTTATCGTATGCCATAGTGAAAGAAGCTAACGCGATGCGAGCTTTGTCATTCAGGTCAGAATCTCTATACACGTTCCGTAGAAATAACGCCTGGCCTCTTATCAAGCGTCCTTCACCTTTCGATGTGCAATAAATGACAGAATAAAGAATTCAAATTGTCATGCCTCACTAGCCACAATTTGGAAGATCCCATTCATATCTTAAAGTTATGCTCACATTTTAAGCAAATACGATTTACTCCGACAAAAATATGAAAAATAGGAATGCCTAGAAACAGAAAAAGTACAAATCTGAAAACAACATCCCTTGAAATAATTAAATTTGGCTCGCATACATTAGGATATCTGGAAATACACCAAAGCAGAACTGAATCATTATGGGCACGGGCTCTGAAAGATGTAAACGTGCTTCCATTGCGTTTATATCATCCGCTGGGCACTGCAAGATACGAATGCAGATGCAGATGCCGAAATACATAGATACGATTAGCTATCGGTTTTATAATCGACAGCAGCTGACGACATCGATGGCCCCACCGCATGGCGAGAGGGTCGATAAAAGATACAATGCGACGGTCTCTTCAACTCAACCTTCAAAACCTGTGATTACTACGTCAATTATTATCATTTTATTTGGTGGTAAAGAGTTTCTTGTCTGTTCTGCATATACACTCTACAGCGTTAACCTCACTATTTGTCCGATCCATCTAATTGTCTTAACAGACACTGGAATTTTCACTTTTGTAGCCCAGCATTATGCAGACAAATATGAAATTTAACACTATAGATGTTGCCGAAACAACGTATTTCACAAATCAAGGAATTTAATCAAAGAAGGATATCATGAAGCCAGCCATTCTAATTCCCTTTGCAAGGCCGGAATATAGAATGTGAGGATTTTCTTTCTGCCACACGAAAAGGTGAGCTAAGGCCAGTAATAAGGGCAGTAACAGCTGCCGCGTGGCCAAGCCTTTCTCCTATCATTGCACTAGAAAATGGATACCTACCTATACGTTAAACCAAAACCACGAACTATGAAACAGCTAGTGTCACCTGAGAGAAAGAGGAGCAAGGAGCAATTAAGTTACCAATTTTTGAAAGACAGAAAAGTCGAGAGCGCACACAAAAACAACTCGTGCACTTATATTGGCCCACTCCGGTCGCATTAATCCGCACGCACTGGGCCCGGCCGCCTATTCTGAGGTAGGTGGTCCAGCTTTAGCCTGTGACGCTCTGTGCTTGGTACGGGAGGTTCTCAGTAAGGAAGACCGCTCACTGCTCAGCTCTAACCTGCTGGACACCGTGGGCCGTTATGTCCGACCGTCGGGGCTTATGTGCAGCGGCGCCGCACATAGGGAGCGGTTTATACATGCGCAACTCCGACACTAAATGGAGCACTGGTGAAAAAATGACTACACGGCTGGTGTGGCCATTCTCTCACTCATGCCTTATCATCTCTCCACCAGCAGGCAGCATTTTGTTTTGTTTTTAGAAGCGTGCAATGCTTGGGTAGACGGAAATAGGTACACTACCGCACAGCAGCACAAGAGATAACATCGACTGTGGTTAGTCGCCTGTTTTGTGGCTCGGCTTGGTTACTGCAGACGGCACGCTACGTGATCACATCTTTGTTTTCCTCGTCACAGCACGGGACAGTCCTGTCCTTGATCGAAATATGCCACATTTTCGCAGAAACCACTTCTCACTTCCGAACGGAACGGTTATTTTTAGCCGGAGCCGAAATTACTTAACATTAGGTCGGTGCATTTATAAAATTGCAGATATTTTATGCCTCGGATCGATTCAATGAGCAGATGCACTTTTAGGAGAATGTGAAACACGTTAGTAAAAAAACAGCTTTCATCTGGCTGATGTGATGCATAATGCTAGCCTCAGAGACTAGTTTTACCAACAGAAAGATAGCCGCCTGCCGGAATTTTTTGTCTAAAGACCGTTTCACATACGGAGCGTAAACGCGACAAGCACGTAAGCGGATAGGGCTTTACCGCTCTCGATCCGTATGTGAAGCGGCCTTTAGGCGAAAAATTCCGGCAGGCGGCTATTTTTCTTTTGGTAAAACTGGCCTCAATACTATGAAAAGGTGACCTCAAATTCGTCTTATCTTAGCAGTGTACCTGTTGAGGGGCTACAAATAACGTATTTCTCCACTGCAAGTATCCTGATGTTTTCGACAAGTCATCCATGAGTAATGAGAGCAATATTTGAGTTGACAGAATTTAGGATATAACTCAAATTTTCAAATACGGAGGCGTTAAGTTCCATCGCACCTATCTCCTTGCCACCAGCTGCTATTTCGCAATCTTCGGGATAGTGAGATGGGATTCTTATCGCCTCCGAAATATGATCGTCGTGCCTGCCGGCCAGTGTCGGGCCCCGGTCGTCGCACTTCGCGTTACGTGTCAGTGGGGCGAGGACCAGCTCAGTGGAAGCAATACGAGTGTCTGGTCAACAACCATGGACAGGAAGAAGAGGAGCAGAAATTTCAGCAGCAGAGACAGATATTTTTTAGCCGATATCATGAAGACTAAAGAAAAAATCATCGAAAATAAACGACACGACGGAAGGAGTAATGAAGAACGAAAACGGTCTTGGAAGAACATTGTTACAGCCTGTAATGCAAGGTCCGAAGAAAAATGGGACGAGAAACAGCTGACACAGCTCTGGAGAGATATGAAAAGGACGGCCAAAAAGGACCATTCGCGGTTTAAACGGCAGCAAATGGGCACTGGTGGTGGACCGGATCCTGCGCCGTTGGAACGTCAGCCACCCCCGTGACACGCACATATTAAACTGATCACTCGGTGATAATCGTCCTTTGTGTAGCATTGAATTGGACATCGACGACGCCTCACCGGTGAAGTGACGGGACGGGGGAGGGGACGGGGGGTGACGGAGACGAACCGACGAGGGCAGACGAGTAATCTGAGATACGGCTGTTATAAGATCATGCAGTAGACTGGCGGTCGGCCATACAGAGTGAAATAATACAAGGCGCATAGCATTATTGATGCTGATTGGCACGGCTTCAAACGCTGTTCTGGTTAGGTTAATGCATCACCACATCCCATTGTTACGGCTGTACTCATCGCATGTATAAAAATGCTGATTGGGGGCCACCGGTCCCATAAATAACGGAATTACGCACTTGTTCATTGGACCAGCTGATCGCCGCATCCTGATCAGCTGATCGGGAAGCCCTTTAAACTGGCGTGTAAGTCGGCATTTAAATATTTACACGCGTGTAGCTACCCGCGAGTTATTCGCGGATGGAAGTCTCCGGGTAAAAGTTGGTGGGCAGCTACACGCGTGTAAGGAAGTTAGCCACCAAAATAAACGCGAGTTAACCGCAAACTGGAAGTCTCCAGCCTTAGTGTCTTAGTGATGCGTCATTAAGGATTAGTTGGCAATTGATCAGTTACAAAACGTACTTTGCGCAGCGGCGAGCAAGTGCAAAACATGCCGCCATTCACTTTGTACATGTTACATCAGAGGTGTCTGGTGGAATGTAGTGCTGTGTGATGTAGACTTGACCTTTATTGTGCACTTGAATAGTTGTAAGATTAACACTAGCGTAACCCTTTTTCAAGCAGTAGTAGTAATGCTGCCTCTCTAGAAATCGCTTCTTTACAACGTGAAGTACAATAGGTACTTATGATGTGTAGCATTCTAGATATCTGTTGCATGGTCGATAGCAGTATGCATGTAGTTCAGGAATAAGTGCATTGTAGCTCACTCACAATGCATACATCAGTGGTAGACAAATTAGCAGCACGTATTACCTTGTTGTCCTTGAAGTCAGCCGTACTGACATCGTCCTGGTGCGTCTGTTTCAGCGTCTCCGGCCAACCGCATCCGAAACCCGTTCACCAAGCCGTTCAAGAACGTCAACATCAGGTCGGTACTGGGCACCTGGGACCTCCCCAGGCTCTTGTTTTGATGAGATGCTCCTAACCATAATAGAAAACGATTGATGATCAATATAATCCAACATAAAAATCGTAGGCCTCTCGCAGTGATCGATTTTCCCCCAACCGACCGGTTTGTTGGTTGTTGCTGTTGACACAGTTTACATGCGCTGCAGTGGCGATTTCCGCTCCTGACAGCAGGTCAGGGCTGGGGTCTCCCCTTCCTTACGGCTGTCACGGCGACCCGTCTCCGATTCTCAGGTTCATCAACACCAACGAGCTGAACGGCGCTTGTCGCAAGGGCATCCAGTTCGTGGACCAGCAGCGGCGCATGGGTGAGATGCTGCTGCAGCAGGACATCCGCGTGCGCTCCAACACGCCCGACGCCGGACACTTCAACTTCTTCAAGACGTCCAAACAGGCGCTCGACATGGGAAACAATGCCCTGTTCAACTCGGAGGCCGGCAACGGCCTGCTCATGCAGTAAGTGCGTTGACAGCGAATGTAGTCGAGTTGAGGCTTAATTGTAGCGTAATATATAGATACATTTGTAAAAATGGACGTTGAAAAGCATACCAGCAAACATACGCTTCAACAGCTGTTTGTTAATAACTATGTAAACACAATCATTGTAGCATTCTCAACTTAGGAACGGTCTTTGGTTGCTGTGAAAACAACAATAAAACTAATACGATGTGCAAGGGAGCGTAGCAATATTTTGACGAAGTACACAAATGCTTAGGCAGTTAACCTTTGCAATCGCTATTAAATGCTCATTAAATGGTCATAAGAACTGATGTATGTTGGCGCTAATAGCACAGTCAATAACCCGTCCGTATGACTAGCGGAGACTGCATAACATCACATGACTGTAACACCAAAACGTGAAGACTGCAACAGCACACACAACACTAACACCAGATACTTGAACTGCAGCTATTTACATATGTGGCGAGGACTGCATCAGCACACACGACACTAACACCTTAGACTGGAGACTGCATCAATGAATGCGGCGAGGACTGCACCAGCAGTGCACACACGACACTAACACCACATGCTGGAGACTGCAGCAATGTATGCGGTGCTAGCACCACACCGGCATTGGCTGCGTTTCAGCCATTCAGCATTATCGTATAAATTATTTGGAAACCTTTTAATGTCTTTTAATCACTTTATAAACCACTTGAAGCACTTTTGATGTGTTTTGATCACTTACAAAGCTTACTGAAGAGTGACACGGTGTCAACAGAATATTGGTTGTTGAGCTTGAAAGGGTTTATCACCTGCTGATAATACAAAAACCTTATGGAGCTTTGCGCGGCACACCCGGCATGTGAGAGATTTTAATTCATATTGTCAACCACCACGTTAAGAATTCAGATCATATTGGGTCAGATGCCGCACGCTCGGACAATACATCGATCTATTCATCAATAAGAGTAAAATCACGATCTCACATCAATCTACAGGGAAACAGCAATAGGTGCGATAAGATACCTCGGGCGATTTCGCAAAATAATGTTTATATCAACCAGTATAACGCCTTTTGGGGCGACTAACGGAGCGAGCGAGAGGGTGACCCTTGCACGTGCGAAATTTCGAGGGGGTACCTCCAGCTGACTTGTGCACGGCACCCTACTAACCGGTCTCTAGCGATGTGCCAAATTTGAGCACAATCGGCCCAGCCGTTCTCGAGATCTGGAAGCGGCACCCTGCACGTGCGCACGTGCAAAATGGGTCCCAACTGACTTTTGCACGGCACCCTACTAACCGGTCCCTAACCATGTACCAAATTTGAGCGTCATCGGTCCAGCCGTTCTCGAGATCTGGAATCGACCCCTGCACGTGCGCACGTGCAGCAGCACCCCAACTCTGGCACATGGATGCGCATTGCCTAGGGGGTGCCTACCTACATGCCAACTTTCAGCGCAATCGGCCTAGTAGTTACCGAGATATTGCAACAATTACAAAAGTGACACCTCTTCGTTTTGCGCGTGGCACGTGCATAAGGGGTCACCCACATGCATCGGGAATAGTCCAATACTTGGTAGAAGGAATGAAGCTACCCTACAAAAATTACCGCATGTAAATCGGTCAAGTGGTTGCTGAGATATAAGCGTCGCAGAATCGTGACCACGGCCGGCCGGCCGCTCATACTCAGAAATTTCCGTTATTCTACGTAAAGGCCGGAACACAGCACTCGCTTGCAAATCGCGTCGAACTCGCGTCAAGCGCGGAAATCGCTTCGTCCGCTGTGTTTTCACTTGCAATTCAGCTCACAACCCGCGTCGAAAACGCGTCCCGCTTGGAAAACGCTTTGCGCTCCCAAATCGCGGCTGAAACGCGTTGATTATTGATTACACTTGACCTTTGCACGTGACATCTTAACATATTCATGCGTCTGTTTCATGACAAAATTTTATGCGGCGTTCTTTTGATTTTATGAATTGACTTCGTCTTTCAATGGGAATCCCGTCGACGATCTTGGTAAATAAATAACTAACTAAATAAATAAATAAATAAATAAATAAATAAAATAAATGAATTTTTTTTAGCTTTGGTATTTTAACCCGCGCCCTGCTGGGGGGGGGGGGTGTTTGAACACCCCCCCTTGTGGTTTCTCCGCGCCACCGTTTTTGGTACACCTTATCATACATCAATTCTACACATGTTGTGAAAATTTCAGACCAAGGTCATTCAAGGTCAGGTCACCAGGTCACTTGAAGTGACCTCACCTCATAAACAGTTTCAATGTCTTTCATAGCTACACCGAGTGACCGATCGCTTTGAAACTTTCAGCGATTGCTAAGAGCAATAGCATGTACAAAATGTAAATCTCAGAATTTTGATATCGATGACCTAAGGTCAGGTCAATTTTGCGACCTCCCCATTATAAGTCAATGGGAGAAAATTGAAATGCGCCTCTATTGGATGAAAGACATTATAAACACTCCCAAACACCGAATTACAAGTGGTTTAGACACACTGAACATGAAAATGGTGTCCGTGACCCTTGTTTATGCCCTGAGGTCATCTTAGGTCACGAATGGTATCTAACAGTTTTTCGCAAATAACTTTTGATAGAGGCATACTAGAGCGATGAAAACGCCTTAGATGTGTTCAGCTCGACGATACGGATCGACTGATATGCAATATGACCCTTTCCGGTCAGGTCATGACCTTGACCTGAGGTCAAATTTTCAAGTTGACCTTTCAAGGTCAAGTTATAGTTCATTCGATGCGTCTTGACGAGAGGAACACGATGCCGGTTAAATTAAGCTCGTACAAGGCTTGGGTCAAAAGTTATTGCAGAAAAACTGTTTCCGAAAAAATCGGCTATTTTTGCAGTTTTTGCCCCCTGCAGGCAAAACCGTTGACGTTAGGTCAAATCTGAGGGGATTACTCAGAAAGGGCGTTAATGGGGCTATCGAATGCGCTTTTCCGCGGCGCTGTAGCTCTATTGGTTCCCGAGTTATGCGTTGGCTTCTTAGAAATTTTCGACATTCGACCTGAAAATCGGCGAAATTTTGCCTTCAATGACCTCTGGTGACCTGACCTTTGACCTGACCAAAAAATGACCGAAGTGATTTCGTCATTATTTTTGACGCTCTTTCGAACGCCGCCTTCCGCGTATCGCTACGTGGCCCAGGAGCCGAGTTACAAGGGGGGGGGGGTGTTCAAACACCCCCCCCCCCAGCAGGGCGTGGAAATCCAGGACCCCCAGCGGGGCGCGGGTTAAATTACCTTCTCCTCGATCATTGATTGAAATCAGCACAGGTTAAATGTTACTTTCTTTTGTAGGAAATTCCTTAAAAACAGTTGATGCCATGCCACACAGTTCATCATGCCACACTGGAACTTAACTATAATTTTTTTTTCAGTCAATTTTAGCATTTTAGTCAGTATTTGTTTGCCACGTATCATGGTCACAATCGGTTGCTCAGATTTCAGAAGTTTTTTCAAACGAATACAACACCGCTCTTGCAAATCTAACAACTGTCATCGTTCAATCTAATCTAGCAATTCATTCAATCTAATAGTCCAACGATTACCATCCGTAAGTAAACTACATGTTTCTCCTTTTGCGTTATGCAAATCACAGGATATACTTAGCCCTCGCCCGCACATGCCATTTTCCCATCCTAGAACGCACATTGGGGGGGGGGGTTGCCATCTTCACGCGCCATTTCGTTCCTGTTGGAGATAGAGCTTCGCGGTAGAGACCAAAAAGATTCTTTGGGAAGAGGCAAATCCAATGATACCCAGTTTTACCTTCTCAGGTCAGTCATTGACCTTCCAGGTCAGGTCAAACTAAAAAATGTTGCTGTGTTGGGTCACCGTGGATATCAAGTGCGCTGCTCATCATATAGGTACCGATGACGCTGCCGTTTTGTGGAGCCAAACGAGCTAGAACCTCTTTGTCACACTATCCGACCAGGTTTTTGCTGCTGAGGTCATTTCAGGTCAAGTTAGGTCAAGGTCATTGATATGTGTTTGCATGTCTGTGAGTGTATGTGTGTATAGGTACTGATGTGTGCACCGATTGTTTATGTGTCCATATTACATGAGATCATGAAATAAGAAGGTTTTACCAAAACTACAGTCAAAGAAACTTCACGAAAACTAAATTCAGCTTGCCTAAATCGCAATGATTTTGCATTGCATACCTAGGTTGACCTTGACCCTGACCTTGACATCTGTACATCGTCGAACAACATGTTCCATTATAGGTGGAAGGTAAGACTGGCAAAAAAGGCCGAAATAAGGTGTCAAAAGCTCACAAGACCCATAGCCAACGCAAGATATTAGGTATTTGCCATTAGGGTCATGACATGACCGGAAGAACAAGGTCATATCTCTGAAACAAAAAAAAAAACACAGAAACTTTAAATTTTCAGTGGACATCAAAAAAGGATAGAAGAGCAGCTATACGAAATCAGGCGTCTGGCTCTAATAATGTTGAGTGCAGAGCAGAAAACCCTGGGGGGGAGGGGGTGGCAACCACCTCCTCCCCCCCCATGTGCGGGCGAGGGTTAACGTGACATTACAGTCTTGTTTAACTTTCGAGTAAACGTGTTGCTCATGATATTTTCATTATTTTGTCAAAAATGGAGAACAGCCTATACGTTTACAAACGCAAAATGTAAATCCTACGGAATAAAATAAATTAAGTGGGGGATTTAACTACAGGATTGCATTGTAGCTAAATCACGACATGATTTGGAAGTTGCATGAAATTCCTCTCGGTTTTCTACGAAACCACTTAGCCCTCGCCCGCACATGGCGGGTGGTTACCACCCCAGGTAGTTTTTCTGCTCTGAATTAAATATTTTAAAAGCTAGAACCCTGATTTTTCGTATAGCTGCTTCTCTATCCTTTCTCAGCGTCCAATTAAAATTGCAAGTTTCTGTGGTTTATGGTTTCGGATACTATGACATTGTTCTTCAGGTCATGTCATGGTACCCAAATGACCAATACCCAATATCTTGCGTTGGCTATGGGTCTTTTTAAGCTTATTTCCAAAATGTCTTGAAATATTTTGAAGCTTACCACGCCCCTATTTGTGGCTCAGCCTACGAAACAAGGCTGGCCCCAAGTTAAGTTAACGCAAGTATTTATCTTTGCTAAAACGAGCGTGTGCGCCATTACGAGACGCAGCGATTGGTACCCGATTTCAAGGTCCCAAGACAACCGGTGACCTTCGAGGCAGGTCAAGTGGCCCAAGGAGCGGGTTCGGTTTTTGGTAGGGGAGGATGGGGTAATTTGGCCGCTTTTTTAGGAAGCGCTGTAGCTCGAAATTGGCGACATACTTCTGCACTCTCTCAAGGCTGGCAGGTGTAGCATTCATTTTACTTTCTTATACAGCAAGCTGAAAATGATAGAGCAACTACTTATGCCTGAATTTTGTCGTTCTACAAAGGTCTGCAAAGCGGCTAAACTGCCCCGCTAGCAGGGTTATTTGACCGGTGGGGTAGAGCAATTTGGCCGGTGTTTATTTGAGGCCTGGATTTTATGTTACGGGCAAGTCAGATTCAGCGCTAGCTAATGACATGCGTGCTTTGCGCATTTTTAGGCTGACTGGATGTCGGACTTATCTTCGAATGATTTTGACTCGGGTCTTATTTCAGCATTTTCCTGCACAACTAAAAATGCGCTTCCTTAGCATACACTGCTAAATCAAACATTTGCATTTTATTTGTGGTGAGAAAAACGTTAACTTTTTATTCTAGTAAGGAAATAATCGACTAATTTCAATTAAAAAATTCTTAGCAATCAAAGAAAATTCTCAACTCAGTATCAAATCCTCACATCTCATAGGCCTCCGATGCCTGCAAACGAGTTGATAATAGTGTTTACTAGCTGGAGATGTGACTATCAGTTTGGTTTGAGCAGATCCGTAGCAATTTCGTCGTGCTGCTTTGCGCAGTGCCTTGATGAGCCCCTAGGAGACAGACTGTCCCGCAATGCCACCGCCAACGGCCATAAACCCAACCAGCTCGGTACGAAGACCTTATCATTACATATAGGTGGCGGAACCGGGAAGGGGGAGGGGGCACCGGGGCACCGTGCCCCCCTTGATTGTGCCATTTTAACATGAGCCCTATAGGTGTTGCATGGAAAGAATGGGCAGTGCCCCCCCCCCTTAATTGAAGGTGTTTCGCCGCTGCTGCTTATCAAGTCGGCCGTTCCAGCATAGCGATCCTGAGAGCACCGTCAAAGCTGTTCCACTAGCACCGGCAAAATTACCCGGCATTGCCACTCTGAAAAGTTTTGTCTACAAAGTAGTTATGGTTTTACGGAAATACATGAAATTACTCTTGAAAACGCTGAACATCCTAAGCAATGGGACCACAATGTCAAAATTTGTCTACAGCCCGAATTCTACATGCCACTGCCAGGCATATAATTTTTCGAAAGGAAGTAAAAGTTACCATTTTCTAATCAAATTATGTTTTACTGATTTTGAAAAAAAAAATACGAAGGGGAGATTTTTGAAAAAAAAAATCCACGCATTCCTCATTTTATGTTGACCGCAGTACAAGATACCTACGTTTAAGATTTTTTTAAACGTCGAAATATAAAACTAAACAATTTAATACGTTGTACGTATAAAATTGTCAATCAAATGAATACCGATGTGCTGAAAGCAGGAGGCCACGCCAGTATTTAGTTAAAATTGCCGTAAGCCAAGGTGCTTTATTTGGTTTCCATGGTTACTGACGCTATTACGCTTGCATTTCGCGAGCAGAGAAGCTGAAAAGTTGAAATAGATTCAACTTTTCAGCTTTCAAATCGCGCCGGTCTGATTTTGCTTGCGTTTCGCTCGCGTTTCGCTCGCGTTTTCCGAGCGGGATCCGGCGTGATTTCGCGGCGTAAAAGCGAGACGACCTGCGTGTTGGGAGCTGAAAATATGCCATGTATTGCAATGGGAGAAGCGAGACGCGATTTGCGAGCTTAAGAGCTGTGTTCCGGCCTAAGACTCCGCTCACTTCGCTCGCTCCGTAACCAATGATAAACAGATTAACGCGACGTAAGCCTATTTAACTTTTAGCATACAATAAGCTTGTCTGTCATGCACCACTGCACATCTCATTGTTATTGTGCTTTGTATATTGCATTCTGTTGAATAATGCATCAAGGACCACCACGACAGTTGCACCACTGTCTTTGGCCTTTGCACTGTTCTTTAAACAAAATAAATTAGTTCTCTATCGGCAAATTCATCGTGCCGGTTCTGTTTTGACTGGCTGGACTTGCGTTGCTTGTTGCGGGTATGCATGCACCGGACTGTTTATAAGAAACTCAAGACTCAAATTCAATGCTATGCAACAACTATTTACGATAATGCGACCGTATAAAACAAGCGCCTACTCTGCGTCACCGTGTCGCCCAAAGCACGCACCGCTCGCTCTGACCGCCCTCCCCTCCCCGCCGTCAGGTTCGGCCTGACCCCGGACCAAGGTGCGTTCGGCCTGCAGCAGTTCAGCGTGCTCAACACCATCATCAACCAGACCTGCGCCGCGCCGCCGCGCTGCAACCCCGGCTCGGTGTACCGCAGCGCCGACGGCAGCTGTAACAACCTCAACAACCCGGCCTGGGGCATGTCGCGCACGGCGCTGCAGCGCATCCTGGCGCCCGCCTACGAGAACGGCATCTTCACACCGCGCGTGGCGGCCGACGGAGGCGCGCTGCCCTCGGCGCGCGACGTCTCCAACCTGGCGACCGGCAGCACCAACGACCCGTACCCCGACCTGGCCATCTCGGTGATGACCTGGGGCCAGTTTCTGGACCACGACCTCTCCATCTCACCCATCTTCCGGCTCGGTGAGTGGTGACACGAACGAACGGTGCTCGGAAGAGAACGGCTGTTGTTTGAACAACTCACAAAGCCTACTGTATGCTCAGAGGTAAATGGTTATAGAGGGTTATGGGACGGTGTGGCGCTAAAAGAGTAGAGTGGCAGTCGGCAGAGGAAGAGAGGGGCAGTAGAAAGTGTGACGCCAGGGAAGGCTGTGGTACAAATGCTACGAGCGTGTTCGCGTCTCTGTGGTGCCGGATGCAACGGCTGATATGACTCTGATCTCTAAACATGCGACGTGCATGTTCGTGACAAGCATGATTCCTTTTCGGTCGTCACCGTTAGAGAGAGGGCCGAATATGGATACCATTCGCTAGATGTTATTCTTTAATTTCAAGGTCAATGCATGAAGGACTTTGTAACAAGTAAATATGTACACTTTTTGTTCCCTTTGTGGCGTTCATAAGGGTAAATGAAAAACAGTCGACATGAAAAAATTAGTTTACACCTGTTTCTATTACTGATATTGAGCATTGAGCAGCTGCAATTGAACCAGCGGGCCGCTGACGATATACGGCTGACGCAGCACCACTCTGATGTTACAGAGGGCAGCTCGGGTATCGAGTGCTGCACGGAGGAGGGCAAGGACCTGCCCGTCAGCCTGCGCCACCCACAGTGCTTCCCCATTCCGGTCTCCGAGTTCGACCCCTTCTACAGACAGTGAGTGTCCCGTACCTACTTCTTATACTTTTACTCCTCACCTCGTACAAACAACTGCACTTTCATCGCCGAGCTAATGTAAGCGTGATGCAGTTCGTTACTGGTATGCTGCATTCCATGAATGCGACATCCGATTTCCATCAGTGCCACCGAGTGGTATGTCATGGCCGCATACAGCATTCACCACCTCTGCCGACAGCTGACCACTGCTCCCCTTCTCCCAGGTTCGGCCGCACCTGCCTCAACTTTGTCCGCTCGCTGCCGGCGCCGCGGCCCGACTGTAACTTTGGGTACGCCGAGCAGATGAACGCGCTCACGCACTACATGGACGCGTCCATGATCTACGGCTCTGACGAGGAGCAGTCGCGCGGGCTGCGCGCCTTCCGCGGCGGCCTGCTGCTCAACTCACGGCCCGGCGCGCTGCCCGTCGAGACCGGCGAACTGGAGGAGTGCTTCGCCAAGGAGATCGGCGCCGAGTGCTACAAGGCCGGCGACGGCCGAGTCAACGAGAACCTGCCGCTGACGGTGATGCACACGGTGTGGATGCGCGAGCACAACCGTGTGGCGCGCGCCCTGGACGAGCAGGCGCGCCGCCTGTACGGCCAGCAGCTATCCGACGAACAGCTCTACCAGGAGGCGCGCCGCATCGTCACCGCCGAGTGGCAGCACATCAACTACAACGAGTGGCTGCCCATCGTGCTCGGTGGGTGACGCGACGCAAAGCGATGGGCAGTCTCACCAAGGGTGGTTTATGCCGTCCCGGTCCGCCATTTCGGTAAACAGGGGCGTGTCGTTTCCGCTTGCGTGTTCGGGTATTGGATTAAGCAGTACTTTTTCACCGGTGACACGCGACTCGCGCGTCACTCATTCATTCCACGCGCGCGTGCCCATTGTTCCCCCGGCACGCCCTAGCAAGTTGTTCAGCGATTGGACGCGACCGTTCCCATTACTGTCCCAAAAGATGTCCGAGCCGTCGTTTTCCTTCCAACCAGCTGTGACAGCGTACCGGCCGCGGGCGCGGTCGGCAGCTGCGGTCTGTAGTCGGGCGGCCCACTCCGGTCTCGCACGGTCGCGTGCCGCCGCGCCCGGTGCCCTCCGGCTGTAGGCGGGCGCACGTGCGACCCCTCCCCTCCCCTGGTCTGACGGTGTGCGCCACCCGCAGGCCGCCAGTTCATGGACGTGTACGACCTGAAACCCAAGACGAGCGGCTACTCGTTCGACTACCGGCCCGACATCAACCCGTCCATCAACAACGAGTTCAGCACGGCCGCCTTCCGGTTCGGCCACACGCTCGTCCAGAACCACGTCCAGTGAGTGATAACACCGTCCATAGCCACGCCCAGTGAGACAACCCCGTCCAGAACCACGTCCAGTGAGTAATAACACCGTCCAGAGCCACGCCCGGTGAGACAACCCCGTCCTGAACCATGTCTAGTGAGGGGACACATCAGTTTGAGCGATGGAGACATTATTATTACGTTAAATCATACGTTGATGTGGGAATGAGGGCACGCCGCACGTCACAGGCCGGTTCGCCTAAGAGCTTGACTTTTTTGTATGCAGCGAAAATTTGAAAAAGCAAGCCAGTGTGTCAAATCATTGATTTACCGTGTCATGACAGCATTACTAATTCGAAGTATCGTAACACGGTTGTCGGCAATCCTTTAGCAATGAGTTTTTCAGCCACGCAATAAAAACGGTCGTCCATATCACAATGCGGCTTTCAGTGGACAGATCGTGTTTCAAAACACCGATGATACCGGCTGACACCATGTGTATTGGACCCTCTTCACCAACCGCATTGACTGATGGTAAAAATTTGACCTGAGAGGCAGTCACCCATTACCAATATGTATAAGCACATGAATGCGTGTAATGACAGCGGCGACAGATGGTCGGCATTGGCCCATCTGCACGCCAGGTGGACTGCGAGAGAGTGAACTCATCCGAGGGTCCTGCAGAGCATGTCATCAGATGTAAAATTATCACGCAATAGTTATCGTTGAAATCGTTTTCTCCCAGGGCAGCCACAGCTCTCGGGTTCAAACCACGCTCGCCAATAGCGCGCATCCATCAGGGAACGGCGTCTTCACCTGGCACTATGCAAACCTGTGGTCAGAGTATGCAATATGATCAACTGAGCGTCAAGCTCACGGCTCGTTGAGCCTGGCCTGCCTTTCGCCCGGTGCGGCCGAGGTGCCTGTCACCACGGACCGACGGTAGCGGTCGGCAGTGACCGCAGTGGGGTACGGTCCAATTGACTGACTCCGGCCTCAGAGGAGCCCTTTCAGCGCGCCCGCCGCATCCATTAGTGGGTGCAGACACCCAGTGGTCGGCCTACCCCACGGGAAAACGGACGGACGGTGAAAGTGTGACCAGACGAGGTGCCAATGACTGGGATACTTCTGACCTGTCGCCGCCAACAGGCTGCCGGATTAGGTGCAATGCTGCTAAAAGGAGTCCTTAAACTTTAAACGCTATAATATGACGTTGTCACGGTTGTGAAACGGCATGGTGGGTATAGTTTAACTTTGTGGTCCGTTTTATAATCAAAGTAACTGGCTCGGACGTCGGGCAGATAAATTATTGGTGGCCGCCTCAGCCTTTTGACATTTGCCTTCCACCGTAGCCCGATAACTTGATGCTTATTTCATCAGATGTCTCTAGAATATTCTCAGTGCGCTTTACATCAAGCAGATAATCATCCTACGGTGAAGCTGACTAAAAACTGGAAAACTGCAAACCAGCCTGAGCGGTTTGTACCATATGACATCACTGAAGTGTGTCTGACACCACCGGACTGCGTGTCTTACGTCACTGAAAATAGCCAGTGACGTCACTATAGTGCGTATCTGCGTCACTAGGATACGTGTCTGACGTCACTGAACTGCGTGTGTGATGTTACCGGAGTACGTGTCTGATGTCACTGCCGCCCGTATCTGACGTGACTGCCGCCGTGCCCGCAGGCTGTTCCGCGACGCGCGGTCCCAGAGCGGCGCTCTACAGCTGCGAGATGTGCTCAACAACCCCAGTCTGCTGAACAGAGAGACGGGCATCCTGGAGTCGGTGGTGCGCGGCTTCTACCTGCAGCGCGCTCAGCGCTTCGACGAAAAGTGAGCGCCACAATCACTCCCCGAAATGCACGCTCCGGTGCGTTTCCTGTTGGAAATTCCATGACCATGTATGCTCTGCTCTGTTAGATAACACCGTAAATTCTGATGTAGTTTTGAGCGTGCTCCGAGCAGAACAAATCCACGATGTTCCATCTTGATAAGTTTAGTGTTACGTCGGTAACATGCGACTTAAATGCCGAGCGAGGTTTAAATGCTAAATACGTCTGGTGCAGAGGCCGAAGGCGAAAGTGAATGTGTAACGGGCTGTCGGCGTTCGCGCCGGACCTTGTCTCTGTTTGTGACGGACAACGGACCATCACTCTGAACGGATCACAGCTGTCAGGGACAAGGCGGTTCTGCTCGGCCGCTCCGTACCGCACCGGGCACGTATGGTGCAGTGTCCGGTTCTCCTTCTACATAAACATGAATGCATTTTTATCGCGCCTATAAACAGCCGTCACTGAACATGTCAACCATAAAAGCTGCTCGGAGTTTTCAGCCGGGCGAATGTTTGCTAGCTCAGTGTTGGCACAATTTACGTATGTTCGGGCGTCGACAGCCGACCTGATATCCCCGCGGCCCTCATGGCCCGCATCTCTCTCACCGCCGGCCGTTCCGTTTTCAGCGTCATCGACGACCTGAAGAACCACCTGTTCCAGCCGCCGGGCGGCCGCCAGGGCATGGACCTGGTGGCGCTGAACGTGCAGCGCGGCCGCGACCACGGCATCCCCTCCTACAACGAGATGAGGGAGAAGTGCGGCCTGCGCCGGGCCACCCGCTTCGAGGATCTCTACGGAGACCTGCCCAACGACGTGAGCACGGGCGCCAAGGTGCCGGGAACTGACGACTAATACTGAGCGGTTAAGAGGGGACTCCCAGTGTCTTGTCTCGGCCACCCTCTTCACTTGCAAGTGAATCAGTGGGGCTGAATAATTCATCGACCTGATCGCACCAGCCAGTAGTCAGTGTTGAGAACAGAACACACCAGACATGCACCCACTGACCCCTATAATGATCCCCGTCTACGGCAGGTGGTGGACCGGATGCGCTCCATCTACCGTTCGGTGGACGACATTGACCTGTTCCCGGCCGGCATCGCCGAGCGGCCCGTGCCCGGCGCGCTGCTCGGACACACCTTCCTCTGCATCGTCGGAGACCAGTTCGCCCGGCTCAAGAAGGGAGACAGGTTCTTCTACGACCTGGGCGGGCAGCCGCACTCCTTCACAGAGGGTGAGCGATCAGAGCACCGGCGGTGGGGTAGAGAACGCAAACCGGGGCCTCAAGACGGCCGTTCGACCCGTGCTTACACCCGGCCGCAGAGGCTCGGTCATTCAAGGACGAGAGCTCATTGGTAATGCAGCGATGCACTGTGAGTGACAACTGTTTTGCCACCCGAGTGGGACGGTTGCGGCTCGAATCTCATAATCCTTCGGCGAATGTGGCGCAGTTTGCATTGCCGAGCGCAGCGGCTTGGCGGCTCACATAAATCGGGACGGGCGCGGGGAATCCCTGGAATGACCGCGAGCTGATGGATGAAGTGACCGGACTATCAGGAATGGATGACAGCGAACCAGGGAACACCAAATGCGCCATTACTGTTCCGAATAGCGACGCACGAAGCGACAGTGCGATTCAATGCAAGGGGATCAAGCGTGACCGAGCGGGGTGAATCGAGGCTACCGAGTCACTGACACCACCCGTGTCCTTTCGCAGCGCAACTGTTTGAGATTCGCAAGACCAGCTGGGCGCGTATCATGTGTGACAACGTGCCGGGTCTGGCGGAGGTGCAGCCTCTGGCCTTCTACACGCCCAACTTCTAGTAAGTAGACGGCATACGCAGAGCCTACTGCGCTCAGGCTCGTAACTGGAATGGAGTGTGGAGCCCTGCACCGGTATATTGTGATAAAATTGAGGAATATCTGTGACGCAGGCTTTAACTCATTCCACAATGCAGTCAGGATAGTAAGAGAGAAATATCTCACCCGTGTTAAATCCTCTCCGCATTTCTCGCGCCCCCCGCTGACCGCCGCCCTCCCGTTTCAGTAACCAGCTGACGTCATGCAGTAGTTACGCGATCCCCAGCGTCGGGTTCGCGGCCTTCGCCAGCCCGCTGCAGTAGCCGGCCGACGGCCCGCCCAGCCCCCGTGGAGTGAGCCCTCAGAAGGCCCGGCCGGTCGGACGCACCGCCCCGCCCCGCCGGGAGCGACCGCCGCGGGCAGGGACCGGCGGCGGCGGCAGGAACAGCCCACTGCGCCACCGCCTGACGCTGCGAGCCGCTCCCGTCCGGCGTGTGACCGTGATCAGTGACCGGGCGGGCGGCCCACAGCCGGGCTCGGGCACTGGCCGGTCGGCTGCTCCTGCCGACAGCGGCGGGCGGAGCGTCTCACGACAGCGCGCCGCGCCGCGCCCATGGCCGACCGCGGACGGGGCCCAGAGACCGATGGCCACTAGTATTACCGCTGTAGTCGCGTCGTGTCCGCGGCGCCGAGACAGGGTTTGTATACGATTGACGAGTGGTGCCCAGCCCCCAGCGTGGGAGCATTCAGAGAGTTACCCCAAAACAGAGTTACTCCAACTTTTAAGAACCTTTTTTGTAAGTTATTGCTGCGGCTTGCGCCATTGTCCGTGTCATGTTGTTCGGGGAGGGGAGGGCTGACGGAGATCAGTGAAAGAAAATATAGAACGTCTATATAGAACAGCTGCCTTATCCACATGTGAATGAATCGAGAATGATATAGCATTTCGAGAGGCCGGGCCTCAAAATACCTGTTGACGTACGGTGAATATATTTGACAAGTGACAAGTTCCATACGTAGAGTACGGATGCGAATGTGATAACGCGCGGCGGAGGGGAGGTCGGCGCGCCCGGGGGAGCGGGCCGCGCCGACCGGACCGGACCCACCCGGTCAGGTCAGATCAGGTCACGGCTGGTAGGGCGCCAGTAGGTGCGCCGAGAAGTCGGTGACGGCAGGCACGCCGCGCACCTCGTGGTCCAGCAGCGGCAGCTTGGTCACGTGGAAGTCCTCGTACAGGTCGGCAATCTGACGGGGAGAACGCGCCGCGGTCAGGGCAGGGCAGGGACGGTGGTAACCAAACGGTCACAGCTGCAGATGCCACCCTAATTAACAGCTACTCTCCAATGTGAAGTAAAACCGATCCTTTTACAGTATATGGAAGCTGATTTTAACCAGGGTCACGACCGGCGGCAGGTCGCCCCCCCCCAGTCTCGCGGTCTCACCTGGTCCCCCCAGTCTCGCGGTCTCACCTGGTCCCCCCCCCCAGTCTCGCGGTCTCACCTGGTCCAGGTATTTCTGCTGGATCCGACACCGCGCCGCGCACATCCTGCACGGCCGCTCGCCGGGCTTCAGCATCAGTAGCTGGTTCACCACGATGTTGTGCGTGTCAATGCCGGTCTTGGTGAGCTCCTGGACTAGCCGTTCGGTCTCGTACAGCGAGAGGAACTCGGCGATACACACGCACACGAACGTGGTCTGGTCCTGCAGCAGCGTAGAGGGGAAATCGGTTAGCCTGCGCTTCCCACGCCTGGCGTCCCGGTGACTGACAGCCGCGCCGCCGCGGTGACCCCTGTCCGCGCGCGTCATCGGCAGACCGCTGAACAGTTCGAGCTCGTGACCGGCGCCGGCGTAACGCCGCCGACCGGGGACCGGTTACGACACCCGGTAACTAATGGTGGCCGGGTCACACCCATAACACGGCTGATGTCGTGAACATTACGGCAGATACGTGGGCCGCGGCGGGGCCGGCCGGCCGGCGGCGGGGTACGCCAAATACCGGGACACCGCCGGGCGGGCGGGGGCCACGGTGACCCGTTACGTCGTCCCAGAAAATGACCGGCTAGTGCCATACCGTGTTTTTAAGTGGTATCCGTGCCGTTAGTCAATGACTGGCCATGACCACAGTCGCCGCGAGAAACGAGGCTGATATAGTTCGTTTTTCTTAAGTTTGCCCCTCACTGTAAACGTCTTTTTGAACACAGCACGAGAATTGCTAGCTGAATTACTTAGAAAACTGGTTGGCGCACATTGATTTGACCAGATTTGACAGACGATCAATTTGATCAAATTTATTTACTATTTCACAGACTCGTAGCTCGTATTTGCCAATACCTACAGCCCCACAGGGATAGACGACTTCTCAGGAATTATGTGTGAACTAATAAATAAATTGCAGGGCGCTTAACATAACGTTAAATCGTCGGTGTTCAAAGCTTAATTTTGAAAATATTATTCATATCTACAATACAATGTGCGCCAACCAGTTTTCTCAGTAATTCAGCTAGTAATTCTCGTGCTGTGTTCAAAAAGACGTTTACAGTGAGGGGCAAACTTAAGAAAAACGAACTATAACATTTCAGACACGGCAACTGGCACAGAGAACTGAGTAAATGGCATGACTCGAAAACGGCACTGCTGACTAACAGCTTCGTCGCTAGATGGGTCAGTTTTATCTAGTCATTGCTATCTGATGGTTTTCCCCAGGTGTTAGCTAAACATACGGACTACAATCAGAATTCAACAGCGTCTGGCTACCAATGACACACCAACATACAACATCAAACAGACGGCGAATGACACTAATCTCGCTCACAAACTACAGAAATAACACCGACATTATTATCGATGCATCTCAATTCATTTAAGTCCTATGTCAAAAATCGCGGCCACTCCCGCACCAAAGAGGAGATGCCAGGTAGTGTGTAACTCACGGGGTTGCGGAACTGCTCGTTGACCTGCTGGATGATGGGCAACATGTTCTCGAGCCGCGCCGACATGTCATCCGGGTTGAAGTCGGAGAGGCCCAGTAAGCTGCCCATCTGGTGGAGGGGGGGGGGGGGGGGATGGCACGGTCAGTCTGAGAGGCCCAGTAAGCTGCCCATCTGGTGGAGGGGGGGGGGGGGATACAGTCAGCTCTCCGTCAGTTCCCGCGTTACCACTGCCGACCCGAGCAGCTGGCCCGGCGACCGGGGTCCCGTCGGAGTGGATTCACCACGAGGAAGTCCAGGGAGACAGGAAAACAGCCGGCGAACCGACCGTTAGGTACCGGCCAGCAGAATCGCCCAGGAAAACGGGCCGGCAGCGGATCACAGGCGCGCGGTCAGAGCCGCTCAGAGCCAGCGCCAGCCGCCGCCGTCATCCTACCTTCTAGTCAGTTTGTGTAATTATTTGTCGCAGAAATAACTACCTACATCAAATAACATCATGCTACCCACCTATGTTCCCAGAAGACAGTACCGTAAGGTGGGGCTATTTGAGACAGTGGGGCTATTTGAGACAGTATTTAAAATTGCTATAAAACAAAAACCGATTACAATTTATCCTTAATTTTTTTTGCTCAGGCGATTTACTGCTCGATTCCACACCTCCCTGAGCAAAAACATCGCACAAAAATCTAACGATCTTCATTTTATAGCGATTTTAAATACTGTCTCAAATAGCCCCACTGTCTCAAATAGCCCCACTTTACGGTATTCACTTTTTTAAAATGAGGATCCCTTTGCGTACTCAGTGGTATATTGGACCTTTACTGACCTTATGTCGATTTTTCCCAACGCGCGTTTAACATAAAAAGGTAAAAAACAGGATGGTAATCATAAAACGTGTGTTGACGCTGGCAGGAGGGAAACATTACGATTGAAGTTACCAGGAAAGAAATATGTGCAATTAAAATCATAGACAACGCTTTCTAAAATAAGTCTCGAAAATCATTTGAACCAATTTAACTAAGAGAATGTTTGGAATGGATGTGTGATTAAATAAAGAGCCAGCCGAACGAATGAGCAAATGAATGAATGAATGAGTGAGTGAGTGAATGAATGAATGAATGAATGAATGAATGAATGAATGAATGAATGAATGACAGTATCAAATACTTTTACGTAGCATACATGCCTAGCAACAGTGCCTGATGTACACATATTTATAACTTAGGTGTTTGATATTTATAAGTTATATCAAAGTTATAAATATGTACACATATTTATAACTCTCACACATATTTATAACACAAAATTGAGATCACGTCCGAAGGCACGAGAAGACAAGACGCCAATCGGGAGGAATATGCCCCAGTGCTGACATCTGGACCACCTGTGATACGTCTGTACAGAGGGTATGTATGTGCGAACACTGCAGTACAGGCGAATATCCATGGTAATCCGATTTCATAGGACACACCTCAACATGCTATTTACAACACAGCTCAATTAGCAACCCGCTTGATCGTGAAAAAAAAAACAAGAAAACATGAAACGACATAACAACCTGCCATGCAGACTTCCTTGAACAGAGTCCGGGCAAAACAAACGCACCAACACAAAACACTTCCAAACAGAGGTTGTTCACCACGTACCTAGACAGACTCCAGTCCCCTCCTGTTGGCTTTACCAGTGCTCTCTAATACAGACCAGTAGGCTCATTGGGCGGCCGTACCTGGGTGACGAAGGGGCTGATTTGGTTTTTGAGCCGGAGCAGTTTGCCGAGTCCCTTTTCGACCACCTGTGGGAAGCTGAGCAGGCGCAGCGTGTGCCCGGTCGGCGCAGTGTCGAACACCACCACCGAGAAGTTCATGTTTTTCACCAGCCTGCCGGGAGGAGAAGCGACGTCAGACAGGCAGCATGAACCGACATCGGGCGATCGGATGACATGGCAGAGCCCCCCGGTCACAGGAAGTGACGTTAGGTGGGTGCTGACAACAAACTCATAGGACGAAATGTGATTCTTCAACAGAGCAGGCTCCGAAGAAATGGTAGAAGTTCTTGCTAGAAAAATTGCCGCCACATTTACAACGACGAAATACGTTTCAGATAATGGTAACATAGACAAATTCGAAAGGGCTAGGTGATCAAAATATAATTGGTTGAGTTGTCGAAAACAACTCCAGTTACGACACATGTTAAGATAGAAACAGGAAAAAGAACCTAAGCACTCCCTCAAATGAGAATACAATGTGGTCCGAGACAGTTTTTGTGGGCAGGTAAACAAAGAACAAGACCACAGCATTAAAACCCCACGACAAAAATACGCATACAGCCACCACGGGAACGGGTACAGTGTCCGAGAAGCTCTAGCTCTCAGGTAAACGGACGCAAGACGTTCGTGTAAAGATGACATCAATCGAATGCCAAATTTACAGGAACCGCATTGTTTATTCTTGGCACGGAAATGACCCGGCAAACCACGCACCATGACTGGTCTGTAAAAAAAAAACACACAATTCGTCAACTCCGCTCCATCCCCAAACATTATGCAACAACTGTTGCCTGGAAGCAAACAGTGTGATCGCTGCAGAAAAACGCAAAAAGACAAAGCCCCATTGGAAACACAATCTGCCAGGCGTGACGAGCGTGAGCTTCTCGGGTAAAATGCGCGACCGAGTAGGCGGCTATTAACGAGGACAGTCCGGACTGACTGAAATGGAACGTCACTGGGACACACACAAAAATCGACCGAAAAAGTGCGAACTCAGGCGGATACATTGCGCCAGCCAGCAGACACCAAAAAGTATCGGTGACATATGGTAAACCAGGGTAATTCATAACTGCTGCACAAACACGAAAAATTAGTCCTTCAGCCGGTACGATCCGGTGCAACACATATCAAAATATTACACAAAATAACACAGAATATTACATCCGTTTCTCATATTTCAATTGTATCCTAGCACCCAACCTACCATACTGGAACAAGAAAAACTCCTGGGAGTAAGTCAGATGACGGAAATCCGAGTCCTCCAAGATGAAGGAAATTATGAAAAGATCTGATAAGTAATGATCATGGTGACTTTCATGGTTTCAACTCTCGCGTACAAACTACTTTTGTTTTACTAGATCGAACACAGCACACAGTCAGATCACTCTCTTTTTGCCCCTGTGTCTGAGTTCGGTAATCGGTACTCACTTCATGACCTCTGTGTAGCTCATGGCCTCGTCGATGCCGGGAAAGGCCGACAGCAGCTCCTGCATCATCGACTTCCCAGCGCGCATGGCCTCCGACTCGCCCTCAAAGTACTCGTCGGGCAGCTCGTTAAAGCCGGCGTTCGGGTCAATCTCCTGCCGGAGGTGGGTGGGGGCCGTGAGAGGACGGCGCAGGAAGACGTGCGTAAAACCATCTCAAGTTAGGTCACAAGCAGAATGCCAAATTTCTATACCGCAGTGTTGCGCGGTATGATCGACGTTACCTACCTTTGTACTATTACAGATTACTTGACTTAATCGTGTCTTTCAATATATCCTTTTTAGCAGAGAAAAATGATTCTTGAATAGACATTTGCTTACCATGGCTGATAGATTGTCAAATCCATTGACTTTGGTAGGTACTTTGGTGAATTTTTGGTTGAAAGCGTCTGATATGTTGTGAGCTGGATCAGTGGAGATGATGAGAACACTCTCCCGCACCTTGGCCAGCTGCACAGCCAAGCTGCAACTGAAACGGAATGGAGTGAGACGCATTAAGTCTCAATTAGGACCACAAACCTCCAATCCCATCACTTCTAGGTCTAGATCGTTGCACATGCTAGTCAGCATTATCCTCTGCTGTATTCCGAGTTTGAACTCTGTATGACATCCCCAGTTTGATCCCATAGATCCCAAAGACCCTAGTTTAATTTCCATTATTCTCCAAATGGAATCACTTTTCAAATTCCTTGCCACTGAGGCAGAATGCATCCCTACACTGCTATACTAACTTATGACACATTAGTCAGTAACACACAAAGTCATGACATACCTACACATGATACTGCAGCATTATGTAAAATTAGCACTGCTTTGTCTTAGTAGGCATACTAATAGGTAGGTACCATTAGGAGGCAGGAGCCACCACATAACTTTATAAAACATACCTGGTAGTTGTTTTACCAACTCCACCTTTTCCTCCCACAAAAATCCATTTCAATGACTTCTGATCAATTATATTCTTAACTGTTGGATCCAGAGGTTCAAATTCTTCATCCATATTATCAAACTAAATCAAATTCTGAAAAAAGAATAAGGTAAAAGCTAAACCATGACTTGGGCATAGGTACACAAACTTCATAACATACCTAATATTCACAAATCAACAAAATTATCTAGGTAAGAAAAAAACGTATGTTGTTTTCAGGAACATATTTCTTCTGACATCCAAAAGATAAAGAAGGCAAGAATTAGTATAATATTACTTGCAGTCTCCCAGTCAAAACAAACAAAGGATGTTGTGAGATTAACATCATTTGCCTTTAAGCAGGTGGGCATCTTTGGATGTACCAGCAGTGCCTACTAGAATTTGGAATAAATGAGCACTGGCAGATCCAAGGGGCATGAGATGCAAGACCTACAAACTGGACAGAGAACACACTACTTACAAATAAAAACAGATTATGAAAACAACTGCAAGGTCCTTCCAAACAACTTGTTCCAACAGAAATTGGCTATAAATTGCAGATAAATGAATAAAGAAGCAAAAGCTGAAATAATAAAAGCAGCCTTAGAAAAAATATATAGGAAATATTGAGTACCTATGAACTATGAGATCCCAACAGAATCTTATCAGCATCCACTAGGCTCTAGCTAAGTCAATATATTGAATAAGGGGAAAACATTTTTCTTCTTTTTTTTTGGACTTAGTCTTTTCATAGGAGGTATATTAAACATCAAATAGCTAGGAATTTAATTAACTGCATTTTTTTTTTGGGGGGGGGGGAGTAAAATTAGCTAGCTGCACTCCAGGATATTGCTCAGGTAAACATCAAAATTAGTATATTGCTTCCATTCCAATGCATGAAGATGATTGGATAGAATTTGATAGGCATTAGAGTGGATGAGTTTGAAATTTGATTTTATTGTTTTTATATGAAGTTATTCCATTGAGTTTGCATGGCTGTAGAGTGTAGACATTATTATCTAATATTGATGCAAAATGATTATTCTAAATTGAAATATTGGATTCTATTGTTATATCATTTTCATTGCGCAATATAAATGAGGAAAATGCTCAGTTAGGCTATCACAATTCACTAATCAATATTGCAAAATACTGCAGTTTCTACTTGATCTTGTCTGTGAGGAGGCACTCATCAGGTGCCCAGTATTTACAATTTAATTATGGTGTGAGGCACATTTGGAGTGAAATAGGGTAGACAATAACATGTTCCCATATTTCACTGATGTGCTGTCACATGGTTGACAAATAAAATCATGTAGGTACAGAAGGCGCAATGAGTTACCCAGGAATTACAAAATTCCTATACAATGCATTTTTACATGTCATAAGTGTATATAACTCTATTTCCAAATTGTGTAATAAATGATAGGTTTGCTGTTCAATGTATGCCAACTGTCAATTTTCTTGCCAATTGTATAGTGCCAACTGCCAAGCCAATATAGTGGCTAATATCTTTAACCAGGTTGGTGTAGGTTGATGTGGCCTGTGAATGTCACTTCTGCTGATGTGGCTTGAGAAATCTGTACACTTTCCATTCAGATATCTGCTTGCAATGCAAGGCTGATTATTAAGGCTGATATAGATATCAGGGCTGCTTCAGACAATCAGAATCAGTCGGTATCAGTAAGCATAAAGGCTGAAACAGACTCTTTCCGCGTTCAGGAAATCGCATGCCAGAGCCTATTCAAATACATTGTAATTCTTCTCGAATCAATCGCTTGCAGGAGGTGCGTGCGATTGATGTGAGCATGCTTCCATCTATTTACATTGTAATTCTTCTCGAATCAATCGCTTGCGGGAGGTGTGTGCGATCGATGTGAGCGTGCTTCCATGTATTTGAATAGGCTCTTGCATGCGATTTCCTGACTGCGGGAAGAGTCTGTTTCAGGCTTAAGGCAGATCCATAGCACAAGCTGGCATGCTATGGTGTGGAAAAAATGCTTGCTCATGCTATGTCTGCCTTACCGACTGATACCAAAAGTGGAAAATAGGTATACTTCCTTTAAAAAAGGGCCTTTTCAAACCATTATATTCAGCTAGTAGATACATTGACATATCCAAGAAAGACAGAAGTGCGCAAACATTTAGGCAGATGATTTGAAGCATCATTTTGGATAGCCTTGAAAAAGGCTAAAAAAAGACATTCTATCAAAACACATGTTGATGCATAACCAATTAAAAAATAGGCATAATTAAAAAATAATTATATTTCCCATTGTTTATCCCATATTGATCCACAGTAGCGCAACAGATATGACACTAGCACAAAATTATAATTTGAAAAATTATTGTACATGGTAATTAATAATATTAGAAAACCACACAACATATGAGTATGACACTAACAAAAAGTTCAACGAAATCCTTTAGATAAAAATGAATGATATTATGAGATAATAGGAGCCAAACGAGCCACCAATGAAGCCTTCCCTAGCGACATTCATTTTTATTTACTTGAAGTTGATTCGTCAGATTACGATGTTTTATGACGTCATATTTTTATACGGAAATTCAATTACAATAAAAATGAAAACTTTTTGTCACATATGCGCGGCGTACGCCTCAAAAGCGTAGATGCTGCTACTAAAATAAATAGTTGCTTGTGTATGTTTCATTGAACCATGTAATTCAATGACATAAAAAAGTTATTTTTGGAAATGTTGACCAAAATAAGCCAAAAAAGTCACAGTTTACACACTTCTTAAAATCTGTCACCTGCTTTCTTGCTCTCTCAACTCTCAAGCTGCTCACCACCTGAGGGTCAGGTGGTCCCAGCCCCAGCGACGGTCATCCCGCGGCGGCCGGACGGCTCACAGCCGCTGACAGCGGGTCATTGACCGTGGCTCAGGCCCGCGGAGATGAGGAGAATAGAGCGGGAAGCTGGCTGGCTGGGAGGCACGGGACGGGAGGCACGCCGGCCAGTGAGGGTCGGCCAGATCAGTGGCCAGTGAGGGTCGGCCAGATCAGTGTGGTGGTATGGCGTGCTGTGCCGTGTCTGTGCTGTGAGCCGCTATACTGTAGCTCTGGAGGTGGTCGGTCAAAGTGTGGCTGTGTGGAAAGTGAGTCGCTGTGTGTTGCGGGCTGCGGTACGTGTGTTCCGATGGAGTGACTGGGTTGAGTCGGTAGTCCTTTATGGAGGAGGCTGGCGACGGTCGCCGGCGCCCCCATGAAGCGCCCCAGCCTGGTGCGGGTGGTGCCGGCCGCTCTGGCGCTGGTGCTGGTGCTGTTTGTCGCCTACGGCCACTGGGAGAGAGTCACCTCTGACCTGAGCCCGCCGGAAGCGGCCAACATCTCCCGACTACAGCGCAAGCTCGGTATGTGTCACATGGCTGTTACCTAGTACTTATCAATACCTACGTTGGCCAGTGCTAGCCGACCCGTGGAATGTGGATCGCGGGCACTATAGGCCACTAGGCTGACACACCAGTCAGTTTGAATGGTCTATACCGGTCCGTTTACCGTATCTGACACACTAGTCCCTTTATCTGACACACCAATCCGTTTTGCTGGTCTACCCGAGCGGTCCGTTTATCTGACACCAGTGCGTTAATCTGACACGCCGGGCTGCTCAGCTGACACACTGCACCGGTCCGTTTTACTAGTCCACCAGTCCGTTTATCTGACGCACCGGTCCGTTTTGCTGGTCCACCGGTCTATCTAGCTGCCTTGCCCACCATTCCGTTCATCTGACACACCGTTCCGTTTTCAGCCGACCTGCGGGAGCTGGGCTGCTCGATACAGGGCCGCTTCATTCAGCTGGGGGAGCGGTCGTCGGAGCCGTACGGGACGATCACGGCCGGCCGACCGGAGGCCTGTCTCAGCTGCCTGTGCTCGGTGAAAACGGTACGTCAGTCGTTGTCAGAGTCAGCCTCACCGGGCACCATGAGAGTGTACTTAATCAGCTACGGGAGGAGGAACAGCGAGGTTATGCAATTAGCGCAAGATCGTAATAAGCATCGCAGCTTACGCATTACGCATGCATCGAAAATAGCTCTTTTTTTAAGTGAACACGAATTGCCTTTCCCGTTTGTTGTTAAGTGTCGTCTGGTTTTCGATGCGATACGTATGTTACGATGACGATTCGTTTGAACAAATGAGCGTTTGTTTATCGACCCCGTTAGGCGTTGTCCCGTCCCTCACCGGCGTCACCCGTCTGTCGCAGAGCGATGTGGAGCCGGAGCCCGACTGTGTCATCACCGAGTGTCCGACTCACGTCTGCGACCGGAAGCACCCGCACTCGTACGAGCCCGACCACCCGTGCTGCGCCATCTGTAACACGACGGAGCCAGGTAACACCGCAACTCCGGTAACACCTTTAGATGCCCGTAAATGCCTTTATTACCATCCATGCATTACGTTATCTGCAGAACGATCTGAACGAACATACGATTTTGTGTGCAGTAGCGGCCATTTTATACCGTCACGAGGTTTACAATAACCAGTAGCACAATAACCAGTCAAAAATTGCTTTTAAATTAACAAAAATGAATGGGTGATTTGACGTGGTTAAGTTTCACCAAAAGCAACACTGCCAGGACAGGCAGTCTGCAGTCGAGGTATGTACGTACCAGACTGACTGGACCAGCCGATCCGTCTGTCTTCCCACAGCCCGGGAGGCCCAGAGGTTCCCGGTCTGAGGAGGCTGGGCGTGCCGTCTCTCTGTCGTTACAGAGCCGCTGGTCGAGGTGCCGGTCTCAGTCTGTGGAGGCTAACCGACCCGTCTGTAGTTTCAGAGCCGACTGCCGAGCCGGCGCGCTCCCGGGACCCCGCCATCCCGCTGACGCGGGCCGTGTACGAGCCGCAGCTGCTGCACGAGCCGGCGGCGGTGTGCGCGCCCTCGGCCGGCGGCGGCGGCCCACTGGCGCTGCTCGGCGTCACCTCCCGGCCGCGGGCCGCCGAGCGGCGCGCCCTGTTCCGCCGGCTGTACGGGGCCCAGCTGGCCGCCGCCCGCATCCGCTACGTGTTCGTGCTGGGCCGCGAGGAGCGCGTGGAGCGCGCGCTGAACCAGCTGCTGGCAGACGAGGAGGAGTACGAGGACTACATGCCCGAGGAGCTGACGCCCGACGAGCTGGCCGAGGAGGCGCGCCAGTTCGCCGACCGACAGGCGGCCGTGGACGCCGAGTCAGCCCGCCACGGCGACATCCTGCAGAGCCGCGCCGCCGAGCACTACAACCACCTGAGTCTGAAGACGCTGGCGCTGCTCGAGTTCGCCGGCCGCCACTGCCGGCGCGCCGCGTTCGTCATCAAGACGGACGATGACGTGCTGGTGACGGTGCGCCGTCTGGCGGCGGAGGTGGCGGCGCGGGCCGGCCAGGCGCACCGGCCCTCCATCCACGGCCTCCTCTGCGTCGACTGTGCGCCGTACCGCGGCCGCCTGCTGGCCTGGCGCAGCTCGCACCGCGAGTGGCCGTGGGACCGGTACCCGGCGTTCGTCACCGGGCCCGGCTACCTGGTGTCGGCCGGCGCCGTGCAGCCGCTGCTGGCGCGCGCCCTCGACACGCCCTACCACCACCTGGAGGACGTCTTCCTCACCGGTATCGTGGCAGAGGCGGCCGGCGTGGAGCGCCACGACTGGGCCGCACAGTGCATCAACCGAGTGCGCGGCGGCGACCTGTGCTCGCTGGCCCACTGTGCGCTCAGCCACGCCGACCAGTACAAGGACGGCGGACGCAGGATGGAACTGTTCGGGTACGCCACACGTCGGTTTGACGTGGATAGGCTCTGTGAAGCCAACGTGACCACGGCGACCACATCGCCAGAGCTGTGATCACTATATTGTATCTGTTGCCAAGGTGTGTATATTAAAGTTTTGGCCGACAAAATGAGCCGACATGCGAGAGTTTTATGAAGCGGCATGTGTAACTCCGATAAGACGTGCGAAGACTGGCGACCATTTTTGGCTCCTTTTTGACCCCACATTTTCACGAACGCGTTTCGACAGCAGGTTCGCCGTTGCACTGACTGCACTGTCATGCAGCGGTGTTCCAATTGTAAGTTCCAATTGTAAGTTGTACTACATACCATTCTATATTCGCTATCAACACTAGGTCCTGTCGGCAAATTAGCTTGTCTGTGAGCGACACACACTTAGCGTAGGACGCACGGCCGCCGCACAGTGCAGACTCCTATGCCGGCGTCCCGGGTCGCTAGGTCACCGTCGGGAGACCCAACACATTTTCCGTCACATTTTCTTGACGTCAGCATCATCTCCCTCAAACACTGCGTGCTGAACAGCAGACACAGATGTCAATGGCTGACCTGGCCTGAGTCAATGGATGGCTGCCGGTTCTAATGGTACGTGACAAGGACTGAGCGTCCGCCGGCTGACAACTGAACCGTACGAATAGACGAATCAATTCCCCTGAAACGCAACGCATGCTGATTGATAACACCAAAAATCATAAATCCATTATCCGTTTAAATCATGCTTAAAACTAGTCGATGCTCGTGATAATCGGGGACACATTACAAAAATTGTCCTCAAAACGTTTTTAATTATTAAGTTGTCGGTACAATCAATATGAACGTTGCATTGCTTTGACTCATTTCTGCCATCTCTGATCTCGCTGATTTCAAAAGCCATCCTGACGTTAGGTCATTTACATAATGTGCATAAATAATTTCAGACGGCGTTGGGAATGCCTTACAACGATTAAATTGTACGCCGAGGCCTGGGTTGCACTGACTGAAATGGATGAGCATTTACATATATGAGCATTAGGTAGGTATGACCAGTAAAACGCCTTTTGGGCGAAGAACGAGCGAGCGAGATAGTGAGCCCTGCACGTGCGGAAAGGCGAGAGGGTACTTCTAACGGGCTTGTGCAAAGCACCCTTCTAACCGGTCGCTAGCGGTGTGCCAAATTTGAACGCAATCGGCCCAGCCGTTCCTGAGATCTGGAAGCGGCATTCTGCACGTGCGCACGTGCAAACGGGGTCCACTCTGACTTTTGCACGGCACCCTACTAACTGGTCCCCAACCGTGTACCAAATTTGAGCACAATCGGCCCAGCCGTTCTCGAGATCTGGGAGCGCCCCCTGCACGTGCGCACGTGCAGTAGCACCCTAACCGCAACATATGGGAATTCATTGCCTGGTGGGTGCCTGCCTGTATGCCAAGCTTCAGCGAAATCGCCCCAGTAATTACCGAGTTATTGAAATGGGAACAAATTTAGCACCTCTTCTTTCTGCATTTTTCACGTGCAGTGGGGGTCACTCACATAGATCAAGAGTATCCGACCTTTGGTAGAAGGGATGCAGCTACCCTACAAAAATTACCGCAAGACAATCGCCCAAGCGGCTGCTGAGATATGGGCCTCTCAAAATCACTACTTTTGCAAAACAGCTTGAACACCCTTGACTTTTCACGTGGCACGTGCCACGACGGTCATTGAGATGTATCAAAAGTAGTCAATTACGGGGTAGAAGGGATGGGGCTACCCAGCAAAAAAGACCGCAGGCCAATCGGTCCAGCGGTTGCTGAGATATAAGCCTCTCAAAAGCGTTACAGGCCGGGCCGGGCCGGGCCGCTCATACTGAGATTTTTCCGTTATATTGAAAAAGACTCGCTTCGCTCGCTGCGCTCGCTCGCTCGTAATTACGAGCGAGCGAGCGCAGCGAGCGAAGCGAGTGTAGCTGCATCCCTTCTACCAAAGGTCGGATACTCTTGATCTATGTGAGTGACCCCCACTGCACGTGCAAAATAAAAAATAAGAGGTGCCAAATTTGTTCCCATTTCAGTAACTCGGTAATTACTGGGGCGATTTCGCTGAAACTTGGCATACAGGTAGGCACCCACCAGGCAATGCATTCCCATGTGTTGCGGTTAGGGTGCTACTGCACGTGCGCACGTGCAGGGGGCGTTTCCAGATCTCGAGAACGGCTGGGCCGATTGCGCTCAAATTTGGTACACGGTTGGGGACCGGTTAGTAGGGTGCCGTGCAGAAGTCATTTTGGACCCCGTTTGCACGTGCGCACGAGCAGAATGCCGCTTCTAGATCTCAGGAACGGCTGGGCCGATTGCGCTCAAATTTGGCACACCGCCAGCGACCGGTTAGAAGGGAAGTACAAGTCCGTGGAAGTACCCTCTCGCCCTTCCGCACGTGCAGGGCTCACTATCTCGCTCGCTCGTTCTTCGCCCAAAAGGCGTTTTACTGGTAAGTTATGAGCGAAAACAGCTGAACTGGGATTCCCATTCATGCGTTGCTTCAAGGCCACGATGCATCTTCTTTCTGTTAGCATTCCTGTTTTTGCTGCGTCTTCATGTTACCCTGTTTGTTGACTAGTCAGCGCCCCTACCCCGCCTCAGGCACAATGAGAGATCACGCTCACCTTCCCCCTCAGCGCCAAGTGTGCCCCATCTACTCCCCCCTCCCCCCGCCTGAGGTACAGCTGGGCGATCCACGCTTTTTCGTCGACTCGTAATCGCCGCTTACTAACGGCCCATCTGCTGAGTGCGGCGCGGTGCAGGCCGGGCCGGCGGCCAACGCTCCCCGACCGCCGGCGGTGGCCCGGGGCGAGCCTGCGCGCGGCGGCGGTGACTCGTCGGCTCCTGCGGCGGCGGGTCGCCAGTAGCGCCTCGGGCGGTGCTCGGAGGGGTGTGTGGTGCTCGCGGAGCGGTCCTGGTGCGGCGCGGGGCGGTAATGTGATGCCGGGGGCTGGCGACCGACTAGTAACGCTGAGCCGTGCGGCGGGCTGTGAGGACGAGCGGTCTCACTGGAAAAGGGCCGGTGCAGAGAGGAGCTGATGGCGCCGCTCCAGCGGTGAACGGCGGTGGCCACGGGCAGGGTTTTACCGCCGATGACAGAGTGGCGCACAGACCGACACGTAGCAGGCAGCCAGGTAAGAGGCACGCACCAAAATTGAAGTGGCCTGCTTCACAAGTCGGATGCTTTCCACTTGTGTCGACTGTCGGGCGTCGTGGCCTCGCAACTCAGAGCTTCAGTAGCCACTTGTTATTAAAGGGACTATCCTACCTTTAACATGGGGTTTGCGTTGAGATAGCCAAGTTTGCGGCGAGGTTCAGAAACCACTATCTATCTAGGTTGCAACCCCCGCGGCCTCTTGGTGTTGAAGAAATTCATTCCCTTCATTTGAAAATGGGCCTTGTGCAAGGCCCTATCTTCAACATGGAGCGACCGTTAGTGTTACGTCACCTCGTTTAGTCATTCTGATTTAAATGGGTTTGTTCGTTGAAAAATCGCTTAAAACTTGGTCTGAACTTTGTTGTGGTGCCCAGAGAGTAAAAAGAATCAGCTTTATGACAGTAATGTGGCCTGGGGAAGGAGGTAATTTTGGGCTGTGACGTCACATATTTGAAAGTTTGTGTTTGGAATATGGGAAGCCTAAGATGTTTTATGAAAAATAAATGCCAGAACCGTGTTCCTGGTCATCCAATCTATAAAGTCGGGCACAATTTAACTGGTTTTAACAACATTTTAGAAGGTGGGATAGTCCCTTTAATATCGAATATGTATACTGTTCACAAACCAATTTACAGATCCCGGAAGAGTTGTGGGATGGGGAGATCAAAGCCGTTTTCACGACGAGCTGTCTGGCGAATGCACCTAATTTGACCAAATCTGCGTGAAAGCTCTTTTACAAGAAATGTCATTATATGAACTTATTTCAGTGTTTTAATCGAAAATAAGGTCTGATAATTTGAAAAATGAGGTCTATAAGCATCTGTGCAACCCAAACTGACGAACTTTTACTAACTAAAATGACCCAATTTGACCACATCTACACCAAATCTGCACCTAATCTGCACCAAATGTGTATCTACCAGATGACCGTCGTAAAAACGACTAAAGTATATCTTTTCTGTTTTCAACTACGATAAAGTTACATGAAATCGTTAGTCGAGTATCGGACATCCCACATTGAAAGGTTATAAAAATATGCATATGCCTACTACCATGACTCACGAGAAACGTTTGATGTCTATTAATAGGTCAAGTCAATATTTCAATATCGAGATCGACAGTGCCTGTGTTATTTGCCAGCCATGAGTTACAACTCGGCAGCCTATGAGGGAAGAGAACTGTGAGAGGTCCTGTCAGGTTAAACGGATCATCGTCCTTTACCTGTAATCGACTCGCTGCTCATATATCTTGACTGAAGCCAAACAGAGTTACGGTAGGTTACAATTAAAATGAACTGCTTTTCTACATAACGAAACACGTTTATCCTTAAAAATTAATTCAATAGCTTCAATAGCTTCAAAGGCCTGTTGACACGTTGAAATGTAAGGTCGTCTGAGTCGTCAGCCTAGATAAATAAAAAGAAATATGAAGCGAGGTCATGGTAGTTTACGAGGGTGTCAACGACTCATGGACGAAGGTGTTGCAAAGGGTCAGTCATAAAGCCAAGCAGTTTTAAATAACTCAGTCTCGGAGTAGCGTTTCGGCTGAATTTCGTGCTGCCTCAAAGAGCAGACGACAGCAATGGCATGTGAGGCGGAGTGCGAAAGGTCAGCGGGTCAATGAAAATGAAATAGCTATATGCCTGATACTTTTAATTTTACGTTTGATATTGTGTTGACGTTGTAACGTGATCGGCAAGAAAATGCTTGAGCTATTAGGTACTGTTCTAAGATCTTGACAGGGCTCCCTCTACAATCTACATACCTACCCTTCTCTTCCTCTGAAGACCAGGAAACGCCTTTTTAATGGCTTTCCATTTAAACATTGGTGCATGAACTAAAGAAATATCAAGCGTTTTGTCCTTTCCACTTCTCCAGTTTGCTCCTATTTCCACGTTCCTGCTTTACCCTCGCCGGACCTATTGGTCATGCGCGCCGGCCGAGGGGGGTGGGGGTACGACCCCCTCGCCGTTTCGCCCCCGATGGAGCTAGCGCGTCGCGGAAAAAACGAGCGTGTGCGCCGTTACGAGACGCAGAGATTAATACCCGATTTTAAGGTCCTAGTTCAACCGGTGACCTCTGAGGTCAGGTCAAGTGCCCCAAGGTACGGTTCAGTTTTTGGTGAATGACTTCGCAAAAAACGGCCGCAGAGCCGCGATTATGGCAGCATCGTGTTCGGTTCGCTCGGGCGCGTCGAATGATATACTTTTTGTTTGGGTGAGGTCAACTTAAGGTGCTGACCTCAGGTCACGGTCAGGTCAGCGCCACCAGGTCACGAAATTGGTTGGAGTAGGTCATGTCGCATATCATGCGATTCGGCAGGTCTTCCTGAGTCCATTGGTGGCATTCTCGACTCGCTAGCTCAATTTGATCGGGAGATATTGACGAAACACTTATATGACCTTGATGATGTCATAAATGACGTCACGCAAGGTCAGCATTGCAAACGTGACGCATCTAACCTTGCAAGGAGTGCATCAAATCACGATTCTGTGTGCTTGAGATAGTTGGAGATCGTTCTCGGCGCCAGAATAGCAGTTTTCATTTTCCCCATTGACTTATAGGCCTAACATGGTGAGGTCACGAAAGTGATCTGACCTCATATGACCTTGAGGAAAAATCCGAGATATTCAAGTTGTGAACTCGTAATGGATACTAGATCCTGCAAGTTTCATTTCCCTGTGAAAACTCCTCTGGCAGTGAGGGCGTTGCGAAGTTGCGACATCTGCAGAAGACCGTGCAGAGGTTCACTTATGATGTCATAGGTCAGTGACCTGACCTGACCCGAAAATGCGGTTGGTGTCAAAAGATTTGGCTTGAATCAAAGGTCAGGTATGCCAAGTTTCAGCTCTATCGCCAGCGTGTTCGGAGCTATTGCGAAAAAAAAACCCTGGGGGGGGGGGGACGGGTGCCGCCCCCCTCGGCCGGCGAGGGTTAATTCTGCCGTCTGATTTTAGGCTACCCAATGGAAACGTTGCTTCCGTATCTGGAAACTGGTCTCTTTGGGGTCGAAACCACTGCTGTAGCGTCCAAATATGACATGTGATGAAGGACTGGTCATGAGTTAAGACAGGGTGGACTCGGCAAAATAAGGGCGCAGAAAGTCAGCTCACAGGAAATTCGTCTGCTGAGATCCTGTGAAGCGTAGTCTGCATTTTGTTTGCGCATATTCAAGGCCGTATATTTGCTTAGGCAAGGGTGGAAATGTCTTCGACCCAACACGCATACGACGTATAGTGGTCAGCAGCGGGCCAACGTAGTTACCGATAGGTAAATGCTGAAAATAAAAGGGGGGCTGATGCTCCTTTCCATTGCCTATTAAAATGTTTTTTTTTAATAAGCCTCATCCCTGCGATGTAGCTCACGTAATTAAACTGCGATGTTACTCGCGAGTATCATAGGCGCGGGAGCCGGGGGGAGGGCAGTGGGGGCAGCTTGCCCCCCCCCCCCAACTCTGGGGCCGTGGGGGCGGTGCCCCCACAGCTTTGAGACGGAATACCACACTTTTTTTGCAAATGTTTTCTTTTTTTGTTGAAAAAGCCGAGGGGTGAAAAATAAGTGGCCTAAAACCGGTGAGAAAACTAGATTTGGGGGTACCCTAGGTTAATCTCTATTATGGTGTGCCCCCCCCCCCCAGTCGGAAAGTAGTTCCCGCGCCCCTGGCGAGTATACATAATTCGCTTTGATGTCTTGTCACATAACAGTCCTCAAGTTCTTGGAAAGTCTCCAGAAGTTCTTAAGTTTTAGGTGGCTCTTGATTATCATTAAATAGTTAAGTCTATCTGTATAAACTTGATGTTTCCGATAGCGTACGACCTGTCCCAGATGATACGATTCAATAACATAAAAATGTGCGAATTTCAATGCTCGCTGTTAACGCACAACTGTTAGGGCCAAGTAAAGCTGCATATACCACGACACGGTGTATTGTGCTTCCAGCGACCGAAGACCAAGCACGGACACGGCGACCCGCCGACTGACCCAGTCTGGTCACGGTCGCGCCCTTATATAACCACGGCACAGAGCGCATGCGCGATGACCGCGCGGCGGTCAGGCGGCTCGCCGGCCGGACGGCCGGGCCGCCGACCCCGCCCTGTTCCACGGCCCCACACGGCCGGTGCGCGGTCACAATATCCCAACACTCCTCCCCCCATAAAAGAAACGTTTCCACTTGGTCAAGTAACAAAGAAACGCGACACACTACGCGACCGGAACGCGACCGGAAATACAAACTGATTCAGACACTGGTGATGCACATCGAGAGCATCCGAGGCCTAGGACTGAAAACGATCTGGAAGGAGCGACACTCTGCCAGACCTGGTCACATACGCGCCCCGCACAGATGTACCCCCATCCCCCACCTGATCTCGGGCCCGCCGGCAGAGGTAGTACAACGCCAGCGGATCCGGTCCAGTCTCCTCGGACCCCGTCTGCTTCCTGGGACGCGTTTCTGTGGCTGTGTCCGATGCGTCGTCCCTCCGGGTGCTTCCAGACGTTTCCTGTTTGTGGGACTCCCGTTCCACAGCTGGCTTTAGGTGGTTGAAGTGCAGAGCCTTTTCCTTGCCCTTGTCGTCACGGACGAGGTACGTTACTCCTCTCTCTCCTCCGAGGCGGCCGATGATGGTGCCCGGGCCTTTGTAGTACAGTCCCAGCTTCGGCTTCCCGCCGACCGAGACCCTATTATCCCGAATCCATACCCGGTCACCAGCCTCGAACCCTTTTCCGCTCGCGCGCTGGTTGAATCGGGTCGCAGCCTCCGTACCACTGGCCCGGGTTTTCCTGATAGTCGTCTGATAAGCCTCTGAAATGGCCTTTAGACGGTCTTCAAGGTAGCACCGGATATTTACCGCCCGATCCGGAGGGTTGATGACCGCATCGAGTGGCGTTTTCGGGTGGAATCCGTGCAGCAGAAAGAACGGGGAATATCCGGTGACGCTGTGCACAGAGGTGTTGTAAGCCATGCAGTACGCCTTGATGT